ATTACAGCGCTTGAAAGCAACGTGCGGCCTGGCAAACATGGCCAAACACCTTATTTCATTTTAATATGTTTAAAAGACAATTTACTATTTAAGCAAAACATAATAGCAATGTACTGCAGGGCTCATAGCTATAGACAAATTATATATCAGCAATAGCCACAAAAGAGGAGGAAATAGAAGTATACTATCGTATCACTCACTATACATGAGGTAATATTCTTTTTATTTATTTATTTATTTTTTTTAGAGACAAGCTCTTGCTCTCTCGCCCAGGCTGAAGAGCAGTGATGTGATCACAGCTCACTGCAGCCTCAAACTTCAGGGCTCAAGCAATCCTCCCCACTTAGCCTCCTGAGTAGCTGGGACTATAAGCACACAGCACTATGCCCAGATAAGTGATATAATATTCTTTGCAGAAAGACTGTGATAAGTTAAAGATGCAAATTGTACATCTCAGATGTGATGGTTAATTTTATGTGTCAACTTGCCTAGGCCATGGGGTGCCAGATATTCAGTTAAACATTATTCTGGGTATGTCTACGAGGGTGTTTCTGCATGACATTATTTGAATCAATAGACTGAGTAAAGCACATTGCCCTCCCTAATGTGGGTGGACCACATCCAATCATTTGAAGAACTGACAAGAACAAAAAGGCACTCCTGCCAGAAGATGAAGGCTCTCCCTGCCTGTTTTTGAGCTGGAACACTGATCTTCTCCAGCCTTTGGACTCAGATTCAGACTGGAGTTATGCCACTGATACTCCTAGGTCCTCAACTTGTCAACTGCAGATCTTGGGACTTCTCAGCCTCCATAATCATGCAAGCCAATTCCTTATAATAAATCCTCCTCTGTCTATGTATGTATGTATGTATGTATGTATGTATGTATCTATCTATCTATCTATCTATCTATCCATCTACCCATCTCCTATAGGTTTTGTTTTTCTTGAAAAATCTGACTAATACATTAAAATAATAGTAACCACTAAAAATTAAAACAAAAAAGTAGAGTTAATAAGCTAACAGTCAGTTGAAATGAAAGAAATCCTGGCCAGGCCCGGTGGCTCACACCTGTAATCCCAGCACTCTGGGAGGCTGAGGTTGGCGGATCACCTGAGGTCAGGAGTTCGAGACCAGCCTAGCCAACATGGTGAAACCCCGTCTCTACTGAAAATACAAAAATTAGCCGGGTGTGGTGACATGCACCTGTAATTCCAGCTACTCAGGAGGTTAAGACAGGAGAATCGCTTGAACCCAGAAGGCGGAGGTTGCAGTGAGCCAAGATTGCGCCATTGCACTCTAGCCTGGGGAACAAGAACGAAACTCTGTCTCAAAAACAAAACAACAACAACAAAAAGAAATCCTAAAACATATTCAATCTAAAAAAAGGCAGAAAAAGAGGAAAAGGGGAACAAATAACAGATAGTATAAATAAAAAGCAGATAGCAAGATGGTAGATTTCAATCTCACCAAGTCCAATAGGTTTAAATATCAATATAAGAGTCAGATTGAATAAAAACACAAGACTCAACCATATTCTGCCCACAAGAAATTGCTTTTAAATATAGAGACACAGATAGGTCAATAATAAAAGGATAAAAATTCCCATTCACATAAAAAAATCAAAAGAAAGTTTGAGTGACTGTATTAATATGATATATATACATATACATATATATATATTTTTTTTTTTTTTTTGAGACAGGATCTCTGTTGCCCAGGTTGGAGTACAGTGGTGGTGATCATGGCTCACTACAACCTTTGCCTCCCAGGTTCAAGAGATTCTTGTGTCTCAGCCTCCTCAGTGGCTGGGATTACAAGCACACGCCATCATGCCAGGTTATTTTTTTATTTTTATTTTTATTTTTTGAGACAGAGTCTTGCTCTGTTGCCCAGGCTGGAGTGCAATGGCACCATCTTGGCTCACTGCAACCTCCGCCTCCCTGGTTCAAGTGATTCTCCTGCCTCAATTGCAGGCATGCACCACCACGCCCGGCTAATTTTTGTATTTTTAGTAGAGATGGAGTTTCACCATGTTGGCCAGGCTGGTCTTGAACTGCTGACCTCAAGTGATCCACCCGCCTCGGCCTCTTAAAGTGCTGTGATTACAGGCATGAGCCACCATGTCTGGCCTAATTTTTATATTTTTAGTAGAGGTGGGGTTTTGCCATGTTGGCCAGTCTGTCTCAAACTCCTGGACTGAAAAGATCTGCCCACCTCATTCTCCCAAAGTGCTGGAATTACAGGCATAAGCCACCACGCCTGTAATTCCAGCACCTCCTAGGAGCCAAGGGAAGAAACACCTATTTTATACATATAAAATAGAAAACAAGTTACACTTTAGAACAAGGACTACAGCCATGAATAAAGAAAAGCATTACATAATGACAAAAGGGTCATTTCACTAAGAAAATATATAAATCCTAAATGTGGTACATACCTAAAAATAGAGCTTCAAAAATACATGAAGCACCAAAAATGATAGTATTGAAAGGAGAAATCCGGCCGGGCGCGGTGGCTCAAGCCTGTAATCCCAGCACTATGGGAGGCCGAGACGGGTGGATCACGAGGTCAGGAGATCGAGACCATCCTGGCTAACACGGTGAAACCCCGTCTCTACTAAAAAATACAAAAAAACTAGCCGGGCGAGGTGGCGGGCGCCTGTAGTCCCAGCTACTGAGGAGGCTGAGGCAGGAGAATGGCGTAAACCCGGGAGGCGGAGCTTGCAGTGAGCTGAGATCCGGCCACTGCACTCCAGCCTGGGCGACAGAGCAAGACTCCATCTCAAAAAAAAAAAAGAAAGGAGAAATCCACAAATTATAGTTGGATATTTCAACACTCCTCACTTGGTAACTGATAAAAGAAGTAAAAAGAAAATCAGTGAGTATACAGAAGATTTGAACAACATTAAATACTTTGACCTTATTGATCTCTACAGATATTCCACTCAGTGATAGCGGAGTCCACATTCATTTCAAGTGCACATGGTGCATTCACCAAAATAGACCATAATCTGAGCCATAAATTAATTCTCAATAAATTGAAAAGGATTGAAATTATACAAATTATGTTCCCTGACCAGAACAGAAGTAAACAGAAAATCAATAACAACAATAGCCAAAACTTCTGGAAATGAAACAACACAATCTTAACCCGTAGATCAAATTAGAAAGCATGAAGGAAATTAGAAAATATTTTGAACTAAAGGAAATTGAACAATACCACATGTCACAAAGTGTGAATGCAGCTAAGGAAGTGCTCACAGGGACATTATAGCATTAAATACTTACATTACAAGAGAAGAAAGGTCTAGCAGCAACACTTTAAGCTTGTACCTTAAGAAGCTAGGAAAAAATAAAAGAGCAAATTAAACCCAAAGTAAGCAGAAGGAAGGAAATAACATAGATGGGTGAAAAATCACTGAAATAGAAACTGTAAGCAATAGAGAAAATGAAACCAGCCAGTTTTAAAAACAGCCAGTTTTTTAAAAGGCAGACTGATCAAGAAAAAAAGAGAAAACACAAATTACCATTATCAGGAATGAATGAACATCACTACAGATCATATAGACATTAAAAAAATACTAAGGAGGCCGGGCGCGGTGGCTCAAGCCTGTAATCCCAGCACTTTGGGAGGCCGAGACGGGCGGATCACCTGAGGTCAGGAGTTTGAGACCAGCCTGGCCAACATGGTGAAACCCCGTCTCTACTGAAAATACAAAAA